CATCATCTTGGAATCGTTGCCAAAGCCTGGAGATGACACTCTGGGCAATTCCAAGTTCGTCTGATACTTCCAGTTGGGTACGCCCACATTCCAGGCAGCCGATAATTCTACCACGTAAAAAATCATCCAAATGCGTCCTTTGTGTCATAACTATTCGGTTATTGCACTGAAATGCTTATGAAGCGCCTGCGAACAATTTTACTTCTTTGCCTGTATTCCTTATATATCACTCTCTTACACTCTCGTCATTGTGACGTACCATCGGTGTCCTCTGATTACTTCCTGAAATTTGCATATGATTCTTGAAGATGTGTGTAGTGATTTTACAGGTGATATATTTATTTTAGAGTTCGATTTTCGCGTGACTCCGAATTATCCTTAATTTATGGACAGGAGTGTAGTTTTAAAATGAGCCTATCTTTGGAATTACTGATACAGAGACTCGCGCGTTGGAGATAAAAGTGTTTTTTCTGTACAACGTTGCCATAGCTCGCTTGGAAATCCTTCAGTTTGTTCATCAAAAACTCGTTAAAGTTTTACGAATTATGAAATCGATGATAAAACCAATTCTAAATATCAAATTTGGGCACATGCCCGTATTCACAGTAGGATTACGTCATTCAAAATTGGATGGCTCTAGGTACCGTTGTTTTATCCCAATGCGAGAAATAAACATACATTTATGCAGATTTTTCATTATTTCATTTCTTCAAATATAATGCAGGGTTCAAACATTCGATGGCAACAGTTTGAAAAGGGAAACAGCTTTTTAAAGATTTCAACGCAAAATGCTTAAACGAAAACAATAGTCCCTCAGAGACAAAGTCCCTTTGAAAAAAAAAAAAAAAAAAAAAAAAAAAAACTTTTTTTCTATCCAAGTGAACAAAATATGTTACAAATTAGGTAAATTTAGCATTTGGGATTCTTTTGACAAACGGTTTTCAAGTTAAAGGCTGTGACACATATGTCCCACACGTAGCAACCGACTTACTGTAAGCAGACCTGTTATTCCGGAAAACCTTATTATATAAAATAGATTTTACATCGTATGGTACAGCGTAAAGCGGTCTTTGCATAACCCATCATTACACACTGGACAACTCATATTTGTTCTTTTCTCTGTGTTCATTTGTGTACAACGAGTACAGCAGCGTGATGAGTTTCCAACTTTGGAAGATGATCCCCAACATTCAGGAGATTCTAAGGACTTTTGAACCCAGCAGTAAGTTTTAAACTTTTAGTGGGACATATACTATATCCGGTTAGTAGTGAATGTTAAATGTGAAGATAGGCTAATGCGAATCGTCAGAGATTTTTGGTGTTACGAACCGGGGGTGATATGTCATCCCCCTTTACTCTTATATTAAGGGGGTGGAAATCGAAAGCTAATATGGGAATAGGGTCAAAAGTTATTTCCGGTTCGGGCTGAATCGGGAATAAAATCTTCTAGGCTCTTTTGGGATAAGACTAATTTGATCCATCACCGCATTCTACATATAATATTTTTATTTCTGCACATAATTTTTTACTATAAAATGACAGTGGTGATGACTAGAGTTTTTTAGAATTTGTATTAGCGAACCATTGATATTCGAAATTTCTCAGTTTCGTTTAGTTTAAAAAAAAAAAAAGACTCTGTTAAAAAAAGTTTAAAGGCTTTCAGATTTTATATTACGCCCAAAGAGGCGTTTTTTAACGTTTTATGTGTTGCCTTTACTTATTAAATATGTTCTTCGTACTTAAAACCATAAAATTCAATTCAACGGCAACATCATAAAATATTTAAAAGAGCGTATCTTTAAAATTTCCGATACACAGTCTCGTGTGCTAGTAATTTTTTTTTCCCGGTAAAATGTTGCCATTGGTCGGTTTGAAATCGTTGAGTTTGTTAATCAGAAATTCGTTTAACAAAAATCAGTTAATCAGAAATTCGTTTTTAAGTTTAACAAAATTTGAAGTAGACAATAAAACAAATTCAAAATTCGGGCTTTTCTATGTTTCCACAGTGCGAGGGTTACAACCGCTTAGAAATGTTCACTTTTTACCACAAAAGCAATACTATTCAAAAAATAAATAAAAAATTCAGCTGTATTTACAATAAATTTTATAATTATAATTCGTATAATATGATTGGAACAATTACACTGCTATTAATAAACAAATAGTAACTACTTAGTATCTGCTGAACATTCATTCAAAATGTGCTGGAAAATTTTTAGTGATGGATTATTCTTCTAAAATATCTACATACATACTAAGTTTCGCGAATTACTTTTGAATCAATTAATTCTTAAAAATCAATCTATTAGCTTCTTTTAAAATTTTAATCTTTAAATTTAATGTAGCTAAATCTGGAAAAATCATATGTATGGGTTTTTTAAAGGAATGCATTTTACGTTTTTAGCTTATAATTTTTAATATTATTTTGACATGCTATGGAAAGCTGGAAAATAATTTTTGATGTTATATATATGACTTTGTTAAGTAAACTAGAATACAAAAAAATTCAGTTAATCAATTTGAAAAGTACTTTTTAAACAAACTGCTAATTTACTAAAGATACTCCTTAATTTAGCGCAGGATTTCTTCCTGTTCACAAACGAAATTATTCATAAGTAATTCGTAAAGTAAGTATGATCATTAATGCGAATTTTACCCTCGAAATTAAACTCATGGTAGCGGTACGAAACCGAATACCACTTTTGCGTTAAGTGGGAAAATGTTCAAAATTCTGATTTCCTTATTAAAAATTAGTAATTCCGACTTCCCGTCAAGCGGAGTCATAAAGTAACGAACTGGTTAACTTCATGGAGATAAGGTTCTTTGAAAATTGTTGGTGCTGCCATCTACATTTCCTCACCGAAATTGAAGAATCGTCAAAATGATTAAAAAAGATATGGTGAAGACAAAAATAAAGAAAGCACGACAGTTTAAAAAATATTATACTTAAGTTCACAAATTCATTTTCTCTCCCCCCCCCCCATCATCATCCTCTGCTTCTCAGATCAAAAGATCTATCAGAAGCAAGAATATTATCAGATGATAGAAACTTTTCACTATCCTTCCATGCTTACGAATTACCCCAAATTCATTGTGTTAACTATATAAATTTCTTAAAAATTTTATAAATTTTTAATTAAGAAGTAGACTGTTTTTTTAAAGGTGAGGGTAAAGAGTCAAGTAGAAACCGATACTTTCGAGAGCATCACGGTTCTTTTTAGTATGATGATATACAAATTAACTGTTACAGAAAACTTCAGTACCAGAGCCGCCTTGATGGTTACCTACGCTTTTAGTTAATTATTTGCTTCTAAAATATCGCCACTCATGTTATTTTTAAATTCGAATGTGGGATAAAATGACGCAATAAAGAAACAAAATAACAAATTGTAATTCTAAAGAATATTTCTTTTGAATCGGACTGATTTAAATAAAAATGAATTAAAAATTTGATATATCTAGTTAAAAACATTAAATATTTTGATAGATTTACATTACATATATTTTTCATTTCCTTTTTACATAATAAGTTATGCAACAATTTTGAAATTCAGTAAGGTTAACTGTTTAACTGTTAAAAGTTTAACTGGAAAATGCACTAATTATTAAAATGTATAACATATTTTCCAAAGTTTTACTATTTTGATTTATTTTTCTCGCAGATTCTGCAGTAAGTCAAGAATGTTAAGTTTCAATGCAGATAGTTAAATGTATCACCTATTTATTCATCTACGATAATGAATTTCATCAAACTTTTTTTTTAGCCTAAACAAAATTAACTTTTTTTACTAACTTTATTGTCTGAAAAGTGAAGGGAAAATGATGCGAATAATTTCTCAATAATGCGATTATATTCATTTGTTATTGAAGAACATAACAAACGAAAATTAATCGTGGATAAACTACAGTTAACTAGCACAACATTATTTCTTTAAAAGAAACCTACATTCCAATAAGATTACAAAGTAATATTAGCATTATAATATCTAATAAAATACTTTCATTTCTATTTTCCTGTAACTTGAAACTTGCCCATTCGTATTGTTGTCACTGCCACTCCTTAAGCCTCAGATCATCCACACATAATTAGAAAGGTGAACATGCAGCCAACTTGGCAAAATCGTAGAACGAATGACAATTAGTGTTTGTTTCACTGTGATGGGGAGTCAGTTCTTACATTTGGCAAGCATAAATTTCATTTAGTAGGGCATTATTTCCACAGATAATTTGGAAGGCTTTGCCTTTGTTAGGAAGACGAAAACAATCACGTGGTCGAATTTTAAAATCGAGGGTGTAGCCCTTTCTCTAAATGCATTGAGAAAGGAAAAAATTATGCAATGATTAAAATTTTCAGAATCTGGTGCTAAAGAAGAAAAAATACGCAAGAAAATATATTAGTATTTCTCAGAGTAGTCGTAGTATATTTTTATATAGGTACTAAAGATTATTAGTTCTGTATGTTCAGCAGTGTGACAGACAATAATGAAGAGGAAAATCATCTGGGACTGTGGGTAATTGTCTTACAGAGTGTTTACTATATTAGGATTTATTTTTTATGATTTTTAATATGCAACAGAGAATGAAATTCGACTATTGCTAAGCCATTCTTTAGCTTTTCAAAGAAATCTATTCTAGTCATACTTTGCTATATATAATTTAATTTGTGAAGGGGGAAGGAAATAAACGAATAAGTACCAGATTAAAACTACAAATCTATATTATTTGCATTTTTACTTATGTACATTTTCTATGCTTATTGTTTATGTTTTACGGTATTCTAAAAGCAAAAGACACACATTCTCCAAAGTGAATGTAAAAGTTATAACATGATTTTTCTTGGAGCTAAAAGCCAGACCTTTAAGCACATAAGAAATTCTTTTGTAGATTTATGATTTTGGCACATAGAATATGTAGTATTCAACATAGAATCACCTTTTGTTAAAAAAAAAAAATTATTTATATTTCTCTTGCATAAATTAATGTTTTTATTATTCTTTTAGGTTCATTAATGCTAGACGCAGGATAGTTCAACCTATGATAGATCAATCCAACAGAGCAGGTAAGTTCATGGTTTTTATTTATGATTCTCTGCAGTTATTTTGAATGAAATAAATTTAGAAAATCAGGCAAAAGCCGTGCCTTAAATCGGTTGCATAGATAGTTTCTGATGTAAAAATGTCAGAGCTTAAAGAAAGATAGCAGACAGCCTTAATTGCCAAAAATAAATAAATTATAATGATACAGGAAAAATATGATTTAAAAATATCATTTATATAAATAATATTTATTGATATATAAATAATATCATTCTGTTCTATGGGTTCATGGATTAGAAGTGATTGATGACAACACTTGATAGAGAATAAAAAACATGATTTATTCATCAATATTATACAGGAGAGTTCCAAAGACATGTTTACAGCTGTCGAAAAACTCTCACAAACGCACTGAAACAATCGGCAACACAGCCTTCAGGTTATCAGGGTGTAACGGTGAAGACAGCTTCACAGCAAAGCATTAGAGCACAGTTCCTGACTCAGTTTGGTCGCTCTCGAGCTAAAGCGGAATCTGGCAGCTCTCCATTTTTCTTGCCATGTTCTGGCAACCCTAAACTGGCTTTGTGGGGGGAGTTTATCTTACTGCAGCTGGACATTTTGTAACAATAAATAATAATGATTAATGATAAAACATAATTCCCCCATAATGGGTAAGAAAAAGAGAATTTGTAACATCCATCAGCATATGATCTCAATTTATTCTCAGTGCAATACTGCCAAAGTTTAGCCATACATAAAGCTTCTTCCAAAGTTCCGCAAAACGTACCAATTTGTGTTACAACAGATATTCTATATGTTATTCCTGAAAACATCACTAAAGTTGTTTAAATAAACTCGGTTTCTAAAAGTTAATCAGTTACATGAAGTTCAATTTATATGTGCACTCGCCCATTACTTGTTATTTAAAATTTTGTTTACTTTTTACAGAAGACAATTAAATTTAATTTTATTAGTACACAGCTACATTGCATTATAGCCCTAAAGCAGCACATAACTAAAAAACAATTAATGAGACAATAGGAAGTGTTTTTTGTGCATATGGTCAACGCCGTGAGATAATCATCTTACTCCAATGTATAGCAAAAGGAACTCGTGCTGGTTTCTCACATTCCTCGCAGCAGTATATAAAGTATCTGCTTTTAAAAGCAGACAAAATTTTCTGCAGTTTATTATTTTTATTAATGAACATGTATTAGTTACATAACTAAATCTATTAAGAAATCAGAGTATTATCACTGTAAACTTTCACTGCGAATTGGCTCAAAATCAACAAGTATCTATATAGGGCAAAATTTTGAGAAGCTTCGAATAGATTTCAAGAATTCTTGAAGGATCAAGAATGAGTTGAAGAGCTTATTGAATAAGCAGTCCTAAATAATGGCAAGTGTCATCTCCAAGAGGAGATATAAAATTCAGCTTTGCAAATTTCCACGTTCAAAATATAGTTTTTTATTCTAATTTTATTTTCTTATTCTTCAACTTCACTCAGCTTTTATTTACTGTATTTTCTTGGAGTTGTTCACGGTCCCCTGGAAAGTGTATACAGAACCCTTAGGGCTCCGTAGAGCACAGCTTGAGAACCACTGGTATAAAGAATCTCATATTTTATCAAGTTCTTTGTTACATTAATATTCAATTTGTAATTTATGAATGAACTATTCCTACTATTTTTAACACTATGTATATTTTTTATTGAACAAAATATGTTGAAATATTTATTATTCTGGAAACAAGCAGATTGTATAGCCCCCCAAATATAATATTTTCGCTTTTATCTGAAGCGATCGAGCGTTAAAGTCGCCGAACAATCATATTTCGGTCTGGGGTTCAAATCGAGACAAACGGGCTGGCTGTATGGCCATTTTCATGGTTTGTCCCATTCGTGATGTAAATACAAACCAGTTTTCATTAGGAAGTCCAGCACGAGTGCATCCCTACGCTTAGGCTACGCTCAAGGGCTTTGCCATAATCAAATAACCAAACCCTTTTACTTGGAAAGATTCCCATAGGCTCCATGATTTTTATGACATCAGTTGTTATTTAAATGATCATAGTCCATTAGATAGTTTCCATGTTAATGTATTCTATACAAGCTGGAAAATTGTACAATTTCACATTTATATATATTTGATAACAACAGATTGTTATTTGTGTTAATTTCTTAGGCCTCTTGATCTTTTAAGATGTTTGCAATTAATTTAATTATTTCTCGAACTTTTTCTTTGTAATTTAACTGTTCTTTATAAACTGAATGAAATAATTTCATTTCATAATAGGTACTGTAGGTACGCCCGGTTCAGCGTATAGTGCTGAATCTTCAGCGATGAGTTATATGATGGATGGGGCTTCTCAAATGCACATAAGATCTTCAAGTAAGTAAAACGATTTTGTACTCTATTACACCTGCACTATGGCAACACACATTAAAAAATTTTTTTTTCACATTATGTGCATGTTCTAGGTTATTTATTTTTTTGCCAAGTCCATGACATTTGGCAATTTCTGATCAATTTGGTGATTTTCCGGAAGACTCGGGAAACCACGTTTTCAAAACACTCGTACACAAATTTTCCTGAAGCTTCCAGATGTCCATGCTACATTATACCTATGCCACATGATAGGGTGATTCACAAAGAAGTATACACTTTCCATATGCTATAAAACAGTAACAAAGACATGCACCACCTCAGTAAACCATAAGGTAGTTGCACCCTTAACATTTGCATCTTGCACCTGACAGAAGTGACATAGGCATGTATGACATGTGACTTGTCAGTCGAAATGGCGACATCTGCAGTGGAGAAGGCTTTTTGTGTTTTTTAATTTAACAAAATGGAATCTGAAACTGCTGTGCAATGGCATTTTTGATTACACTTAGGAAAAGAACCTTCAATTAGAAAATTTATTTATCTATCAATCTAGTTAATCTAAAAATTTTTAAATTATGGACTGTTCACGCAAAAGTAAAAATCTTGGACGACTGACTGTCACTAAAAGTCACCAATAGAGTTTGCACTGCCATTCAACGCAAACTGAGAAAATCAACACAGAGGTTGAGTTGTGAAGTAAGATTTTCTCATCCCATTGTTGGAGAATTTTGATAAAGAAGCTGAACACTATTCCATACAAAGTGCAGGTATTGCAAAATCTGAATGACTGACAAACAACAGCGCTTTGAATTTTGTGTCAATATGCAGCTTCGTTTTGAAAATGCTGATTTTGCCAATCGCTTAGTTTTCACTGATGAAGCAACATTTCACATCAGTGGGAAGGTAAACAAGCATAACTTTCACTTTTAGGGAACGGAGAATCCTGAATCCATAGTGCAACATGTGCTAGATTGTCGTTAGGTAAATGTGTTCTGTGCAGTGTCCAGAAAAAAAAGTGTTCTGCCCCCTTCTTTTTCATGGTAGCCACTTTTTTGGATATGTTAACTTTTTGGTTGATTGCACAGTTACAGGATGACACCGACAACTTCATTCTCCAATTGGATGGTGCAACACCTCACTGGTAGGTCTACGTGCGAGATTACCTTGATGAACATCTCGCTCACCGATGGTTTGGACGAGCTGCAGACTACACCATGCCACTTACCCAATGGCCACCCAGAAATCCTGACTTAAAACCCCTTATGATTTCTTCCTTTTCATCTAGCGAAACTGAAACTGGATGTAAGCCAATATCGATGAACCTGATGCAGATACCTTACCACACATCTAGGTAGAAATAGTAACATCTAGGTAGAAATAATAAGAACATTTATTTTTAAGGCAAATCATTTACTTGCTTATGTAGTATGCAGTTTACAGGCAGGTACTAATACAAATTTTTCATAATATAATTTCAGTGCATATAATTCAAAAATATAAAGTGCACATAGAGAATTAGATACAACCAAAAATATATATATTTGAGATTTTCTCCAATTTCGATTATGCTGGTCAAAAATCAAATGATAAGAAAACACATTAAACAACTTAAAATCAGGTAAAACAGTAACCTTATATTTGCTGTAGAATTTACTCAAAACTCTTATCGATTTGATGTGCAATCAGGCACAGTTACATGTTTTGCAATGTGCAGAAAGACAAAGAAGATGCATATAACAAAATTATTCTGCATTTTTGTTTTAAGTAAAACAAATATATAAGCCAGGTCTACATTTTTTTTAACCCATATATGTGTCAAATTTTAAAGTATTTTTACACATCAATGACTAGATTTGCCGTTTTCCCTTCCTGCCAACAATATGTGCATACTACACAGGCCCTAGGCCTACAACTGAAATATGTTTTTTACATTAGCTGTAGATTCGAAAGGGAAAATGGTTGCGATCAAAAATAAGTTTTTAAATAAAAAATATTTTTACAGTGAAAACAACTTCAATATCCATATTAAAACTTAACACCTCTGATTCTTTTATTTTTAATTATTGCAAAATATCTATCTATACTATTAAAATCTGTGTGCCTCTGTCTGTTTGTGTGTTTGTAACATCATCTTCTCGGGAACGGCTGGGTGTAGAGCTTAGCGGAAGGTACCGTTGGATTCAGAATGCCCGTGGCTCGCCATATTGACCATCGGCATCTTCGTGCGACTTTAATTAGCCGAGATATTAATTAAAAACTGATTTTCCCCTACGTTTCCCTACGTTTTGCACTTTCTTTCACGGGTTTTCCCTATTTTAGGGATTTGGCCGAGTGCCAAATTCGTTTTTCTGGAATATCTGCGGAACGGCTCCGAGTTGCGATTCGAAACGCATATCTCCGGATTCGAAAAAAATCAACGAATCCATCGATACCGGTCCCATCTTCGTACGACAATAATCGGCGGAGTTATTAATTAAAAACTGCGAAAACGTTATTTCATTTTTCGGAGTGGCAACCGTCTCGGAATTAGCTGAGATAAAATTGCTTTTTCGAAAGCGCCGGGGGGATGACAATTGCTTCCGCTCGAGATTTGTGCTGGCGAAAGGTCACGTGTCAATTTCTTTTTTCTTAAATATCTATGGAACGGCGCTGAGTTGGAATTCGAGGCAGGTGTCTGCGGATTCCAAAAAATTCTACGAATCCAATGATACCATTCTCATCTTCGTAGGACGTTAATCAGCTGAGATATTAATTAAAAACTGTGAAAACGCTAATTTTCGGGCTCATTTTTCCGATTGCAACAGTTTCTTGAATCGCCGCAGATACAAATCAAGGTTATATTCTAAAGTTGAATAAAGCACGCGATTGCATGTTACCTAACTGTATTTTAAAAATATTTCGTTAATGTAGGCATTTTAAATAAACAGCTGCTTTTCACAATTTTTTTTTTAATTTCAGGTTAGGATGATTGTCACGTTAATTCTTTTATTGATATTGAATAAAAGTTATTATATTACATTAAATTTAAATGATGACGTTCTTGAAGTTGTACAACTTTAATCAGCTGGGATATTAATTAAAAAATCTGAAAAAGCTATTTTTTAAAAATATGTTGTTATTTTTTTTAATAATAAATTTGATTTTTTGGAATAATATATTTTTTTATGTTATTAGATACGTGCACTTAATTTAGATATTATCTTTTAATGCAAATGATATTTTAAATAAGTTCGCACCAATAAAAATTAAATTCACACTTTTTTTTTTTTTTTTTTTTAGATTAAAGATTTTTCTTTGCTCCTTTGAGATGGTATACGGTAACTTTCGAATCCCGGTGAGCAGGCAGGCTACACTCATGTTTTTTGTGATTTTACGCATATCTGTTGTGTATGCAGTGTCTTCTGGATGCATAAATGAATAAAGCTGAACTCTGGTAGTTCGGTCCTAATTTCGAATCCCGGCGAACGGGCTGGGTCCATGGGTGTTTGCGTGATTTTACGCATGTGCCTCGTGTACGCAGCATCTTCTGGATGCATAAGTGAATAAAGCGGCCGAAATTCGCTCAAAACCTCTGATTACTGGTAGTTCGGTCCAACTTTCGAATCCAAGCGACCGTGTTGGCTCAATGTGTGTTTTCGGGATTTTTCGCATGTGTAACGTGTATGCGGTATCTTCTGCATGCATACTTGAATAAAGCGGGAGCAGCCCGCGCAAAACTACAGAACACTGGTAGTTCGGTCCAACTTTCGAATTCCGGGGTACTGTACATAAAATTTGGTCGCATACGTGAATACAGCGCGCGGATACCGGGTAAAACCGCTGAACACTGGTAGTTCGGTCAAACATTCGAATCTCTGCGAGCGGGCTGGCTGCATGGGTGTTTTCCTGATTTTCCGCATGTGTATAGTGTATAAAGTGATTTCTGGATGCATATGTGATAAAAGTGGGCGCAGCCTGCTCAAAACCTCTTAACGCTGGTAGTTCGATCCAACTTTCGGTGTCGGCGAACGAGCTGGCTCCCCGGGTGTTTTCTTGCTTTAACTCATGTGTATCGTTTATGCAGTATCCTCTCCATGCTTATGTGTATAAAGCGGGCGCAGCCCGCTCCACAAAATCGCTGAACACTGGTATTTCGGTCCTACTTTCGAATTCCGGGGTACTGTATATAAAATTTGGATGCATACGTGAATACAGCGCGCGGATACCGGGTAAAACCGCTGAACACTGGTAGTTCGCTCAAACTTTCGAATCTCGGCGAGCGGGCTGGCTGCATGGGTGTTTTCGTGATTGTTCGCATGTGTATCGTTTATAAAGTATCTCATGGATGCATACGTGAATAAAGCGGGCACAGAATACTGGTAATGCGGTTCTGGTAATGCGGTAATTTCGAATCCCGACGAACTGGCTGGCTCCATGGGTGTTTTCGTGATTTTACGCATGTGTATAGTGTATGGAGTATCTTCTGGGTGTATATGTGAATAAAGCGGGCAGAGCCCGCGCAAAGCCACATAACACTGGTAATTCGGTCCAACTTTCGAATACCGGCGAACAGGCAGGCTCCATGTTTGTTTTCGTGATTTTACGCATGTGTATCGTTTATGCACCATCTTCAGCATGCATACGTGAATAAAGCGGGCACAGCACGCGCAAAATCGCTGAAAAATTGTATTTCGGTCCAACTTTCGAATCGGCAGCGGGCTGGCTGGAGGGGGGTGTTTTCGTGATTTTACGCATGTGTACGGTGTACGCAGTATCTTTTGCATGCACACGTGAACACTGTTTTGGGCGGGCTCCCGCCCAAAAGCGCTGAACACTGGTATTTCGGTCCAAATTTCGAATACCCGCGAAAGGGCTGGAAGCATGGGTGTTTTCGTGATTTTCCGCATATGTATAGTGTATGCGGTAACTTCTGGATGCATAGGTGAAAAAAGCGGGGGAAGCCCGCGGAATGCCGCTAAAAAATGGTAGTTCGGTTCAACTTTTCAATACCGGCCAAATTTAAC